CCCCCCCCCCGCCGCCGCGCGCCCCCCACCAAAATACAATGGAAATGCGTGGAGAAGGTATTCACCGGAGCAGTCAGAAAACATATGCTGCTGTGCAAGTGTTGTCTGTTCGTTTCTCGTGTGGCAATGACTCGGTGCTTTTGAGTCTCGTGAAATCCTGGCATGATTCTGAGACGTCCGTCTCCTGATGACCGCCATTACAACGCGAAATACAATAGCATTTGAACCAGCGGAGGAGAGATGAAGGACGACAGGCCGGCAAGGTAAGATCGTCCTCGGAGAGTGCAAACGCGCCTCGCGGCAAGCCCGCACTAGCCTTTCCTCGCCCAGCCAAGCTAGAAAAGGGAGCATTAGTGCCACCTGGCAGCTTTGTAACCTGCCAACCAGCAGGCTAACAAAATAGCCAGGAGAGAGAAGGACAACCACCAAGTAAATAACAGGTCCGGCCCGCGGGCCACCCTCGAGAGCCTGTGACGAAATCGAGTGAGCGGGATACCCTTGTCTTCCGTACTAAACAACTGCACCTAAGTAACGACACACGGAAAACGCTCCGCTGTGGCGCTTGCTGCAACGGAGAGTTGAGGTCGAGCACGCCACGGACAACACTTCCTTCATCGCGTACATTAACATGTACAGCAGTATCGTGCATGCGGGCACGCCGGACAACGGGATCAACGTCCAGTGCCGAATCATTGACAACAACCCTCGCAACATAATCCGGGTACGAATGCTCATATTCCCCGACGGAAAAAGGCCTCGAACGAAGGCACTCCTTATCCTTCCGGCACAGACTACAATGGATGAAACCTTCGAGGTCGCAAGACAGCGAACCGAATACTCACGGGCAGGTCGAGCACCTTGGACCACTTCCCCAGCTCCTCCGTCGTGCCGTCGCTGAGCCAGATCTGTCATCACGCCACAAAGACGAAGGAGGTAAGTAGTGAGGTAGGAAGGGGGAGGGTAACGAAAGGAATGAAAAAATCAGCAGCCGGAAGCGGACGTGAAATCAACCAATAACTCACGGGGAGATGAAAAATACCAGGGTCCACGTCGGGAAAGTTCCATTTTTTTTTTTTCCACCGTGGTGGGCGGTCCCGGTACTGGCGGTAATTACCGCCACATTTCAGTGGTACCGGGAACCGCCGAAAAACGAAAAACTGCCTTCCGTCTTAAAAGTACCGCCATATTGCGTAACCGCCTAAAAAATACCGCCAAAAAACAAACAGCCGGGACCCGTCTAGAAAGAACCGCCATATTTCAGTATCGCCGAAAAAGCACCGCCACACTGCAGTACCGCGAAATTAGTACCGCCACACTGCAGTACCGCCAAAATAGTACCGCCGTACTGAAGTACCGCCATAATGGAACCGTCGTGACAGATACCCCGGTCGCCCCGGCGGTCAAATGGGTGATCTCGCAGCCTGCTCAGGGCCAGGTCATGGGTTCGAATCCCGGTCCCCGGTGGAAGCGACGCGCTGCAAAGCGCGTTGTTAGCAACTTGATCGACTTCATCAGTCGCGAGGGAAGGGATTGCTGTACCCTTCTCGCGAAAAAATACTTCAGGCATGAACCGCAGGAGGGGGTCCAACCCCCCCCTCCAATGTGACCCCGGTTGGGTCGTCTAGCTAGTACAAGTGGAGGATAGGGGCCAGAGGGGCAGACGACAGAGTCCAATGACGGGAGAAAAAAAAAAGCACCAGGTAGGTGCTTGCGGCAGGTGGTGTACCAGAATGGATAGAGGGGGTAAATTTTGAAAGGCAAGGGTTCAAATCTCGCTGCGGGACCTGTTCTTTTTTCTTTGTTCTTCTCTTACTTTCTACGTACCTACCATGTATGGAATTCACTGCTATTTTATCTTAGACTCTTTTCTTAAAATGGATGAAAATGTGGCAGTTCCTTTCTGTTTTCTTTTTGGTTCTGTCATGTTCCTTTTCGGTAGATAGAACCTCTTTATCTTTCGCGTGATGCCGTGATGGGTGCCTGCTCCTGCCCACACACGCACACTCTGCCCCAACGTCGAGCAGAGCAATGAGCGCCCCGCGACAGCCGAAGGCGATACCGCCATATTTAATACCGCCAGGTAAAAACCGCCATATTTTGGTGGTACCGGGACCGAATGAGGCAGTATCGCCATATTTCAGTACTGCAAGAAAAGTACCGCCATTTTTGGCAGTACCGGGAACCGCCAAAGGTAGTACCGCCATATTTCAATACCGTCAGAAAAAAAACGCCATATTTGGCAGTACCTGGAACCGCCAAAGGCAGTACCGCCGGAAAACGAAGTGCCGGGGTCCACCGAAAAAAGTACCCCCACATTGCAACACCGCCGCGCCTGTATCCGCCTACAAAACCGGTACCAACGTGGACCCTGAAAAATACTACCGTTAGGATTGGCGATTCCATGTACGAGCAAAGTTTGCAGTTTGGAACCCCTCCGTGATGCCGAGATACCCCAAAGGCTGAGAGCCAAATTGTCTAGTCTCGCATTACGTTCTCCTTTCTTGGACTTCACTTCAAATCAGTGCTCACAACATTTGTGCCGTTTGCTCCAACCCGTGGTCACACAGAAGGGTTTTTCTCCCTAAGGCCCCCTACCCACCCCTCCTGCGGTGCTTATCGATCGATTCTTAATGCGAGAAAAGTGCATCACTCTCTTTCCTCTGTTTACACACGAACTAGCGCTTTCCACCCAGGCCAGGAACGCAAACGAGAGAATACTCAATATGTAAGGAAAGCTCGCTTACGCCCGGATTCGAACCCCTGACCCTGGCCACTAGACTACCGGGGCGACCGGTGGCCTCGGGATACAAAGAGAAAAACACCAAAAAGGAATGCGGTTTTAGAGCAGTCGTTCTTCGCGACACACCTGCACGAAACTTACGACTCCTGTGCCTGTGATAATCGTGGATCAAAACCGAGCTGTACCGCACACGCTAGGTCCCAAAGTGCTGCAACGTCACAATATGCGTAGACTTCATAGCCATGCAAGGTCAGCAGTGCGTAACCGACATGCACGCAACAAGCTCGACAGCTGCTGTTGCAGGGGGACAGCCAGACAGGAAAATTCTGAAAAAAACTGAACGGAATCGTACGAAATTCTCGCAGCAGCAACACACGGGAAAACAAAGCGTTGGCAGAGGATGGATCGCATGCAAAAAACGAGTGCAGACATCATGGCAGTTTTTAGAGAACTCGATGATACGAATCGTTCCCGCTACTGAACACACACGGTTTTTCACGTTTCCTAGCTCGAACATCAGGACCCCTCCTGTGGTTGGAGCAGGCGTGTCCTATTCTTGGCGAAAGCATTGTCATGGGTTTCGGGGGACAGCACTCCCGCGTCACAACGCCGCGCAAATTTACCACTCGCTGGTAGTACCTGAACCAAGCCCGACATGGTGCCCACCACCAACAGCGGCTTCAGGAAGGGTGAGCTGCACCAAGAGATGCACGTCACTCCCAGGCCATCGGGACACGGCACAAAGGGCCTAGGTGCCATCTTCCAACCGCTGACCGAAGACAGGTCCGTGGCCTTGTACACCCGCACGTGCCTTGTGTCGTCCCGGCCGACATCACGATGTGGCGAAAAACGAGGGGAACGGCGGGCGGAGGGTCACAGAACGGGGAGGTGCCTGCTTAAGGTCAAACTGCTTCACCCTCGCGTTCGCTGCGTGCGTTCATCAGCGGGGTTTGGAGTCTCGGATAGCTCCCTATGGCGGGGACAAAATAATTTTTGCTTTCACTCGAGAAATGCCTTTTGCAAAATAAAAAACACAAAAATTTGGTCACTCGAGGCAGGCTGCAGGGTTCCCTCTTGCGGGTGGGCATGCGACAATTTCTAATTCTGGTTCTGCTTCGGGGCAATGCCTCCCGACAGCTTCGTTTACTATGACGTGGTTTGATCTCGAGACGGTGAGGAGAAAGGAACGCGGTCACATCCCCTCCAGCTTTTCTGTCGTCGTTACCCCATCCCAACTCACCTCTCCATTCACGCGAACTATTTACCACACAACACTCACTCGTCCCTGACGTAGTTCCTCACTGATCCTGCCCCATCAACCTCGCCGAGCCTTACCCAACCCTCCCATCTCTCTCTCTCTCTCAGTCTTACCCATCCTCAGAGGCGGACGCTATCCTCAAGCCCAGGTGACGCGGCGCGAACTTGACGTCCACGACGCCGTAGCGGCTGTCCTTCAGGGTGGTCGCGACTATCCAGCGCGCCGGCGCCCCTCTCGACAGCCCCATCCCGCTTCGCTCGTGCCCGGGGGCAGCCTCGCTGTGTTCCTCCTGTGTTGTGATTTTGGTTGATTTTTTTCGGGTCATGGTTGGCCCATGGCCAAGACGACAGCCGGCGCTGACAAACCGGGCAACAGCAGCAGCGCGTCATTGCGGGCATCCACAGATTGGAGCAGCAGGTTGCAACCCCCCCCCTCTCCCCCCAAGGAATCCACAATCAGCTTGAGCCTCACGTTCGGATTTACGGCGAAGTAAAGTCGTCGCCACGTCTTAACTCTGTTCGAGCCTTGTTCCACCCCAACTTCAACACGATTAGAAAACACAAACAGCGGCAGTCAGCACAGCCCAACGAGCTGCATCGGGCGTGTCTGTCCCTCCGAGCCCGAAGAGCGTGCCGCTTTCATCCGAACGGGTGCGTGGATTCTGACCCGATTTGACGGTTAAGCACAGCGATAGTCCCGCATCGTCCCGAGCCGCAGAGCCACCCACCCATATCTTGACGGTTCTATCCTGCGAGCACGTCGCCAGAAGCTGCTTCCCGAAGCCGGGATGCGCCCAATCCACCTTCCAAAGGGTACCCTATCGATTGATCCAACAACAACGCATACGCCGACACGGGTTCACGCGCCCAGGTCAGTCGTGATGAACCACGCCAATTGGTGCGAAACGATTCGAAAGGTGGAGACAGAAGACATGGGGGGTAGTGACTATTTACATAGCCGGCGGCGAAACAGGCGAACAAAAAAAAACACATCACCAGGCACACAGTTTAGTATAAGGCATGTTCTGGCGCGGCGGACTCTCCGGAAGACTTCCGTCGGGATTGCTGCACCCTAAATTGTCATCCGGCCGACAGAAATGAAACACGAAAAGCGATACAGTTCGAGAGATACAATTCATTTGCCAGCAAGTATTTGATGATTTGAGTATTTCGCTGTAGCCTGTGTCTTGTGCCTCCGCGCCGACCGTAAGCTAGACTACATTAACCTGGGGGGGGGCTGGATCTCAAGAGTTGGATGACATCAGAACTTGTGAGCCAGTTTGAGCAGAGGCGTGATGAGCAAATGTGAAGTACGTCCAGGAAAACATGAAGAGTGGTCCTCGACAGCCAGGCAACGCTTTGATGATTAAACGTGCGAGGTACTTGGTAAGTACAGCAGTAATATCATACGCTTGTCAATAGGGGCATCCAGCCATCTCGTCGTTTCCCTTTTAATTAATCATACCACTCTTTCCCGAACATGCAATGATTCGATTATTCCGCTGGGCGACTGCCGTGCTACACTCAAAAGCATGCGTGCAATGGTAGACGCAGCAGTTCGTCCTTCTCCACCACGACTCTGGCACACACACCGCGTACTCACTGACCATGATACTGGGAGGAGGAGGAGCAGGACCGATGCCGTCTGCGGGAAAGCACGAACATATTATGTTCCAAAAGCCGATATGTGCGGGAAGAGTCGCTTGTATGATAATCTTCGTCCAAAATATTGACTGTGTGCAACAACAACCACTCTTTTGGGAGCTGCAAAGCCCAACGTGTGAGTAAGTACAATCGCGTCGGGCCTCCTCATCACCTGATGCGCCAACTTGATCTCGCAGCCTTCTTCGACGCACCAGACGCCGTTGTCGTCGAGATCCCGTATTCGAATCACACCGTCGGCCGACACCGAGGCTAGTCGTCTGCCGTGGTAGTCGTACGCCAAGTCCGTGACGATGCTATCGCTCTGATCGTCCACAAACTCAAGAACAGGGCAAGACGCCGGCATCGCCATCGCCACTGCCAGCCAGCACAGCGGTGTCACGAGCTTTGTGTGTGTGCCTGTCGCAACACACTTCGACTTGCTTGTGCACCAAGCAAAGACTATGACAAAAAATAAACTATATTATATGTCATAAACGTAAATTATGTGTATTAGTCTTAGACACCAGACACCAAGTGCAGCAGTAGCAGAGGGGCTCCGCGAACACTAAATAGGGGGGGGGTCGTGCCGGGTGCTTTCTCTCTCTGTTCCTGCTGAGCGTTCGAGTGTGAAGTAGCCTTCAGTGTCTGGTATACATCTCCAACGAGGCTTAACGATCAGCCACACCTTTCCCCTATGTGAGTGCGCTTGTTCTTCTCTTTTCCATAGTGCCTAGCTTGCGCTGTTGGTTTCGAAGGTACGGTGTTCGTGTGCTTCCATCATGGTACGGCTTTGTACCAAACACTCCATAAAACGGGAACAAGACCCCACTCACACGCACGCTTCGCGCTCCCTGGTGCTCCTCAATAGACAACAACACCTCCGGCGCCCCAAGAGTCTTCGACAAGCCCCTTTATTAATGATCTACCCTCGCTGTGCTTCTCGCGGTAGCGGAAACTATTACCATGATCCGCAACGTCGTGAGAGCGGTCGGGGGACGAGCGTCGTTGAAGGTGGCGGCAGGAGCACCAGCACAGGTCTCTGCGGCAGCAAGAGCCGCTGCCGCTTCGCAAGGGGTGCGAGCGGCGTCCGCGTGTCTGGGCAGGGAAGTGCGGAGTTTCAGCGACGCTGCTGCGCCTGCTGCTGATGGTAAGCCCTTGTTTTCTCGGCACCACGTGTGCGTGATATTTTTCATGCCTCTCTCTCTCCTGGCACAACATGCATACAAGCAAAAGTGCCGCGATTATTCACACGCAGGCGGTGCAACAGCCTGGTAGGTGCTGGGTTGGGTTCCCCGGCCTGAGAGCACCGCGCTACTACACGGCCGAGAGGCGGCAGCATGGCGTGGGCGTACGCTCAGCGGGCACGTGAAGAAGAGATGTCCCGGCAGGAGACGCGTGTGAACCAAGTTGCCGGAATATTATGCTCTCCTTTGTGTGTACAGCTGCACGTTCCAAAAGACAAGCATTCGTACATAGAGTGTGCATAGTCTACATGGTAGTCTCGAATTTTATTTTTGCTCTTTCGGCGTGTAGCTGCCGTGTACTGGTAGCAGTTTGTAAGCATATGCATAGAAACACGCATCGTTGCGCGAGTGTTCCGGCGTCGAAGCTAGGGGCCCGATAGCCGATCAGTGCTCGGGTGTCACGCAAATGTATTTATCGTCTGGATTGCCTCCAATGCTGTTGTACCTTGAGGGACAACACTTGTCGATTCCTTTTTTGACGAGGGGTACTCTCCCACTGCGGACTGATCAAGTGCCTGCAGTGGCGGCGTCACGATTTCACGATCAGCGAGCGGGGTGCGATGGCTTGTTGACACCACGATAATTGTTCAAGAATCCGACGCTCTGTAGGTCTAAGGCAAGATATCCTCAATGACCTGAAAAATATGAAAAATACGCAGTGTTAACGTGTAAAGATCTGTACGTATCTCGTGTATCTCTTTTTCCCTGGCTTCGGCCACCTCCATCAACACCTCGTGGATGACCAGTCTTGTATTGCGCGTGGTTGCATCGGTTGCTGTTAACAGATAGACGCCTACTATAGTGTACTCACGGCGAAAAACCCTCTGCTAGTATGGGCGTGGGAACAACCACCACGATGCTCGAGTTAAGCATCTTGCACTCAGAAACCCGGTTGTGGTACTCCTCGGAGTATACATTCTGCTACGTGATAACGGGCGACCGTGAATATTACATACACCGCCAATTTTGCCAACGCCGCCGTCGCTGCACTCTTTCCCTGTCGTTTTCATGGCTCTTGGACGTCCATTGATCAACAGATGTGCGCACGGCGCAGCACGCGTGGGAGAAGTCGTGCTACTTCAACATCGACTACAAGATCGACGAGGCCTCCACGGTCTACGACGCCATCAGCAGAATGTCGGCCTACAACGTCGGCTGCCTCATCGTCACGAAGAACGGGGTGGTAAGCCTACATCCGAAGGACTCACGGAGTCATCAAAGCGTTGGACTGTACCTTGTTAATGCTGTCGGATTGTCATTCCCTGCCTTGAAAATACCTTTCTTAAGAGTAGTTTTTGTGCTTGATGGTCCTGTTTCGCGAGTTTCCACAGAGGCACTTTCGAGGTTTTTGCATTGATTCTAAATTTACCTTGACTGGGATGTCCTGTGCGAAAATAATCGCAGCAAGCAGTGCGTTCGAAAACTCGTGTTTAACTCATCACATCAATAACTCAAAGCATGCGCTGGAGTTAGACACACCGATTCGATTCGTATCTTGTCATCCCACTGGATTTCGGGTGTTCGTTAATGCTGTGTGGCTCTTGCCTGAGTGGCTTTTCTGGCCCCTGCCATCTGCATCATACCCGCTCCGAGCGTAGACGGGAGAGCTTGGATAGACCTTCTTGACAACCCGAACTCAGTCCTCATGTGTACCCTAATTGCTGTTTTATTATAGTATTCGTTCACCCTCCTGGCCCCACAGATAACGTGTTAACAGGGTTGACACACATCAGCCCGGGGGAGTTGCCAGGCCTGCTTTTCTAGTTTCAACCGTAGTCCTGGAAAGTTTCTGCGTGGAAGTGAGTCGTGTGGTAGTGAACCTGGCAAGAAGTTCGACGAGTCTCATAGAAACACTTGTGTGTGTGCGTCGCATGCGCTTGAATCAATTTAGGTGTCTGGCATCATCTCAGAGCGCGACTACGTCTGCAAGATCGCTCTGCTGGGCAAGTCTTCGAAGGACACCACGGTAAGACATAAACACTACAATAGCACGCCGAAAGCCAACCACATGCAGACACTGCCGTGCCGTCGACAGCCCATCTTTCGATCAGCATCGGGCGTAGATAGCTTAAAGATTGACAGCAAGACCGCGTTGGGATGGTCGTGGCAGGTAGGGAATTTCCCGCCGACATCTCACGTCATACCTCTAGTATGTATGATTGTTTGGCAAGAGAAATTGTGGGGTTATCATTGGTGAAGGATCAGTGGCGCCAGAATTTTCGCCGCGCCCGTCGCATGTTTGTTGGGTGACCCGTCGTCGGTGGCGGTTAACGTGATGGCATGCCAACGCAAACGCCATCTTCGTTGCATGCCTTGATTTCAACATGACATTTTTATCCACGCATGCACAAGGAGGCAACACCAACAGCAGCAACAGGAGTGGTCATTGTCATGTGTTGTTTTGTTGCATGTGCGGGGTCCAGGTCAAGGAGATTTGCACCCGGGGCCCCAAGATGGTGGCAGCGGCGCGTTCGGACACGATCGAGGCGTGCGTGAAGAAGATGATCGCCGCTGACGTGCGCCACCTGCCCGTCATCGACGACGACACGGGCGAAGTCTTCGGCCTCATCTCCGTCAAGGCAAGTCGACAAAAAGCATCTCTTTTATCATCACTCTTTCCCGCTGTGTTCTTTCGCCTCTTCTTGTCCGACGTCTTTTCTTTCATGTGCAGTGATTTTCTGCTTGGTGATTCCCTTCCTTTTTGAGTCCCCGTGTCCATTCGTAGTCTGAATTTGTTTGTTGCTGTGCAAGTCGAGACGGTTCGCATCTCGTATTCGGCCAAGTCAAGCAAGTGGCGACACGTGCGGCGCGGCACAGAGTAATGGTCGTTGCGTTTGTTGCACTCTCTTTGTCCAGCGGCGTAATAACTCGTCGTCCGTGCACCCATCATGGGTGCTACGCCTCGTGACGAGCTCCTAGTCGTGTTTGAAGCTTTGTTCGTTGTGCGGCACCTCCTACTTGCAGTTCAAGTCCCGACGTTCTGTACAAGGTACCGCAATCAATCGTCGTTGAACACACAGGCCCTTCTCGTCGTTCGCACACCCTTTTTTCTCTTGCAACCCTCTGGACGTGCTGCTGCAGGACCTGGTTAAGGAGTACACCAAGGAACGCGATGACCTGCTCATGAAGATGCTTGGACTCCCGCCGTCCTCCGTCTAAAGCTGTCTGTACCGACAGCGCTAGCTTCGTTTTTTCTTGTGGGGCCCACGTGTTACGTTGCTTTGAGCTTGGTCTGACCTAAGAAGAGCTTCGAACTACTCTTTGTAGCGGACTGGCGCGTAACATCTTGGTTTAGGCAAGCGCCTTCGATCGAGTGCCACTCATGGATCCTGCACGCCTATGTCTGCCTTCCAGCACGATATTACTCTTCGAATGGTTTTCTTTATGTTGCGACGCGTGAGGCGTTACCGCTCCCGCGTGGCGAAGTAGAGGACTGCATCGGAAAACCAGGGAGGAGAAAGGCCAAACGTGTTCGGGCATTCTGCGGTGTAGGGGCCGAGAGGATGGTGTCAGGGTAATGGCTTTTCCCGCCTGCTGCCTCAGTATTGGCGGTTGCATCGGGATGGCCTCACGAGCTTTTTGCATGTGCAGTTGCGGATTTTTCCGCCATGATTCCACGCAGTTCTTCATGGCGAAATGAGTCATGGGCACGTGAGCACAGCTACTCAGGACTCAAAATTCAATTTTCGTTCGTGCATAGATGCCGGCTGGTGGGTACGGTAAACTTAGCTGGGCCTGCATGGGGCCACTTTTCACTGTCGAGGCCTCAAGCGTGCGGTAAACAAAGCTATTGTTGGTGAGCGCAGTTTGTTGCGGTTGTGTGATTAGATGAATGGAAGACTTCGCTTCCAGTTTTTCAGCCGGCGTATTGTGCTTAACCCTCCTCCGCCGTATTTATGCTGGCTGTGCCGAGATGCACGGATACAGGGCACAAGGAACCGTTCTTCGTACCCAAACAAGCCCATGAGGATGTGCCTTTCCCGTTATTACTCCTTGGCTATTGCGCCTTGTGCTGAGCCCTGCGAACGCCCTCTTTTGCGTGCGCAAAAATGACACCGCACTACGCATAACTTGTGTTGCCGTACATTCGAATCACAAGGAGTGCCAGTACCTCTGTTGTTTTCTTCTTTTCACTCGTCTTGCCTCTCGTCCTGAAGAAAACCAATCCGGGGTCCACGCGGAGGCAACCTCTTGCGTGTGGTAGTTCGCGAGGAGGGCTCAGATGTCCTTCCTTCAACC